ATAACAATACTATTTAATATGACAATATCCTAAAATATATATTTATAAAGTAGTAACGTTGATTTTAGAAAAGTGTAATCGTGTTTTTTCAAAGAATAATGGATGAGCAGAACTTCAAAAAGTTAATTTAATTCATAATGGCACTGCACTAAACGTAAAAGTGGAACAGTATAATTCAAATGATTTATTTGCTTGCATGAAAGGCGGGAGATGCAAAAGCACAGTCCGCCGACCAGGATTCCGTATACTTTAGCCGTTTGATGATACGAAGTTTCATCAATCGTTACCAGGGTGCACTGCGAGGAAGCGTATACGGGGCATTATTTGTTTATTTTTAATATTACTAATTTTATTTGCTTGCTTATACTTATATACCATACGATAATAATAATAATTCAAATGATTTAGTTTATATGAAATATGCACCGATTACATTGGTTGACATGGAAAGGTCTTTTTCTCTGTACAAAAATATATTAGCACCCAATAGAATGAATTTTAATGAAAGTAACTTGACTAAATATATAGTCGTAAATTCTTTTTTTAATATTTAATTTGATGTTTAATTGAAATTTGTTTTTTTAGAATTAAATTAATAAATGCTTTTTTTTGCTTTTTTTGGCTACTTAAAATGCTTTTTTGAGGGTTTATTTTGCTACAAAATCCGAGCCCTAATAATTACTCTTAAAAAAACAATTCTGAATTATTGTGGTTGGATGAATTAGTATATACCAGTAGTTTTAAATATGGTTAATAATGCAGTACAACCCACTTTTGTTTTTAAATAGTTGGTTTAAGTTTTATAACTCTAACTTTTTTGAAAAAAATTAAATATATAAAAAATAAAAGGTTAATAGATAGGCTAATAAATTTTATTGTTATTATTATGTTCTTATAAACAACATTATTTTGTTCTTTCGGAAAACAAATTAGAATTTGGGAAAAATCGAATATTTAAAATAATATATAAGTAGCATAAATGTAATTGAAATGTTTCGAAAAATTGTGAAATGTTTTTAAAGTCCTAATTAAAGTACTCAGTTGATGTTTTAAGACATTACAATTAATGTTTAATCGCATACCACAAATGTATCGTATTTCAGATCGTCCATTTTACGTTGTAAGTGTTTTATCTGTTAACAAAATAATTAAAATTTGATAAATTTATATACAATAATAGTTTATATTACTACACGTTTTTTGAAGTCATATTTTGTGCTATAATATTAATACGATAAATAAATAACTAAATAAAAACATTTTGTTTAAGCTATTAACTTTAGTATTATTTTTTATTTATTTATTTATTTATGTATAATAAATGGATATTAAACCCTTTAAAAATTAGAATAATTATAAGTACAGATCAGCTTATCTTATAACAGAATTTGGATACAATAAAGAAGTAAAAATTATTAATATCAATGGTAATAATTAACAGCTAAATAAGAATAATATATAATACAGTAAAATTAATTAATTTATTAATTTATTAATTTATTAATAAATGATTAAAAAAAAAAAAAAATTAAATAATCATAATAAAAATTAAACAAAAGAATTAAATTCAGAGCCAAAAAACATTCTGTCTGAATACACAATGCGACATATCTAAAAAATCAATACGATCCATTATACTGTTAGCCTAAGATAGAGGGGGAAAAACGAGGTGAAAGTTTAATTATTTTTGCAATGAGAAGCATGAAAAAAATTAGATTTTCTTAATACGTGAATCTGTATATTAAAACCAATGAAAGATAATAATTCCGGATAATAAATAAGACCATTTAATAAGTCGCATAAGAACATAATATCCGCAACATTTCTTCTTAAATCACAAGATACGATCCCCAATTTGGTAATCTGCAGTTTATATGATTCTCTTGTGATGGGTATATTTAATTTAAAGGATATTAATTTTAAAAACTTATACTGGACATTTTCAATTAGACTGGTATGTGAAAAATAATGCGGTGTCCAGGCAATCGATCCAAACTCAAGATGTAACCTAACCAGGAAAAAATATAAAGTTTTTAAGGCATTAGTATTTTTAAAATTAATTGTGCTATAAATAAAACCTAACATCTTAAAAGCTTTTTTAAAGGTGTTAATATGGATGGAAAAATCCATATTATAATTAAAGGTTATCCCTTAGTTTCTAATTGAAGAAACTCTTGTGTAACTATATAATTATCAATCATATAATTATAGGTGATTATTATTATTATTATTATTTATATGAGAAAATGTTATCATGCTGCACTTATTTATGTTTAATGGAAGGTGATTAATACGACTTAATTCAACAAATTTGTCTAAATTTGACTGCAATTTTAATGAATCATTTGATAATTTAATAACTGAATATAGTTTAGCATCATCAGCGAATAAAATAATGTTAACTGAGCTACCAAAAATAGATGGTAAATCATTAATAAATAAGATAAATATTATAATTTACGCCATTACAATATGGCATATATATATATATATATTATAAAACTAAATAAAAATTTTTAATCCGTCTAATGCCGATTTTTTACTAAACGGACAGTTGTTTTTATGTGGTTTCTGAGTCTTGACTTTAAAAACCTGATAAACAAAAACAAAATTGAAACAAAACCAAATTTTTTGTTTCCATCAAACGGGCTACATTTTGTTCGAGTTTGGTTTTTGTATTCAATCCTTTTCCACTGGTTGTTACGAGTTTTTATTTATTATTATTATTATTATTTAATTATTAAGCATAATTATAATATATATATATATATATATATGTTGTATGCCAGATCGGGTAAACTCGGTGCAGTCCATTGGCATTACAGTAACGTTTTTTAAGTTTGCACTTTAGAAAAAAAACACCCCGAGGAAGTTCTCAATTCAACAATTTTATTAAAAGTATTTATTTTATTGAGTCGCTGAAAATTATAATATAGAAAGAACGATTTTACAATTGCTTGGTTGTTACACGACTGACTGCTCGATAACGGGTGGTCAGGCGTGTATGTATAAAATGGACAAACGCATAGTCAGCATTTGTCCCCACATATCAACATATACATACTTAACAATAATAATAATATACTATAAATATGCATTGTATTGGCGTGGTCCACAGATAGCGAATGGTAAGCCATCGGATTGGGATGATTCCCGTCCGACACTGCCTCTGTGTGAACTACCCGAATTGGGCTTTGTGTCGTGTGTAACGCGTATCGACGGTGAGGAAAAGGAATGGTTTGGATGTTTTTCAAATTTTGATCGCATGTTGCGTGTGGTAGCATATATGCGACGTTTTATAAGTGCTTGTCACCATAGTGTCGCGCTGCGGCAGCGCGGGGTGACAAAGTCGTTAGTAGTGCAAAATTCAAATGTAACCGGTCCCACATTTTGGCGGAAAAATGAACTAGACTGCACCGCGCGTACGCTGATTGCGGAGTCGCAGCGCGTACAATTTGCCGAGTTAATTCGGGAACTGACTGCTGGGGACCGCATTTCTTCTAAACCCATCGCGCGATTGGCCCCATTCATCAATGCGGACGGTTTGGTTCACATAGGTGGTCGTCTACGGCACTCGCTGTTAAAATATGACTGTAAACATCCAGTCCTGCTAGCAAAACGGTCGCATTACACATTATTATTGTGCCGCCGATGGCATTTATTAGCGGGTCACGCGGGTAAACGGGTTTTGATTGCGTTAATTTCCCGCCAGTATTGGGTGATAGCGATTCGCTCCGTTTTGCACAACATTTTAGTAAATTGCACGGTATGTGTAAGACTTGACGCGAAACCAGTGTGTCCATTTATGGCCGATTTACCCATTTCGCGCGTACAGCCACGCCGACCGTTCGAGCGGGTAGGAGTTTATTATGCGGGCCCTTTACAGTTAAAAGAGTTGCGGTTGCGCAAATCCCGTATCTATAAAGTGTATATTGCCGTGTTCGTGTGTTTTACGACAAAGGCCGTGCACCTTGAAGTCGTGACCGAGTTGTCTACCGACGCGTTTTTAGCTGCTTTTGATCGATTTGTCGCGCGCCGTGGATTACCAGCCGATGTGTATTCAGACTGCGGTACCAACTTTGTCGGCGCCGACAAACAACTGCGCGCATTAATTCAAAGTGATGAAGGCCAGAATGCTGTTGCGAATTTTTGCGCGATGTGTACATGGCATTTTAACCCACCGAGTGCTCCTCACTTTGGAGGATTGTGGGAGGCGGCTGTGCGATCTATTAAACCGATGATGATTCCACTTGTTGGGTTTTATCTTCCGAACAATTACATTTTCTTCGGTTATACTGAAAGATGAAGTTTAATTTTATAAACAAAATTTGATTTTGAATTAAATTTAACAATGAGATAATAGTCATAGGTATATATAACCTTTGGGATTCATTCCCGTTTATAAAATAAAATATATTTTATATTCGATTAAGTTTATAATAAAATTATACTTTTTACTAAAAAAAAAACTAAATCACGAATATTTTTTACCGCATTATGAAGTAAAATAAATATTACTTTGAAAATTAAAATGGAAATTAAAATATAATTACAATTTGTCTATATTGTTCACTGATATATCGATTTAATTTTTATTTATAATAATAATATTTTTTTTGTATCTTATGTTAATACAATTTATAATATATTTATTTAGAAGGTTTGGAATTCAGAAAAGTATTGTGTATGATTAATTTTTGCACGTAAATAATTCAGTGTTTCCAATATACATTATTATATTAATGATTATATTAAATTTGATTTTTCGGTTTAAAATGCCATTATTAATATACATCAATATCTATCATTAATTTAATTATCTATAAACATGTATAAAGAGGTATGTTTCCAATACAATAGTTATTTTGAAATAAATAAATTCGTCACCTACCTCTGATCCTTACAGTAATTTTTCATGTACTAAACGGGACATGATTTCTTCAAACATAGTTGATGTAATGTTGTTCTTCAACAACATGGTCTGACTTAACATTATTTATCAGGATAACCACCAGGATTACTGATGAGAATAATCTGTAACGTACAATAATTGTATTAGATAAGAG